GGGAAATAGGCTTATCAATTAATAAAAAATGGCTTTTACTGAACAACTGTTTTGAAAATTTACCAGTGTTCATTTTCGATATTTTCAATTATCGATTACTATTTTCGATCATCAACAGACTACAGTATCTACTTACCGTGGATCATATGCTGCTTGTACAATTAAAGTTCTATTTAAAAAAAAAACAGAGAGAATAGAATAAATTGTGAATTTGCATTTCATATTTAACCCTCTACTTACTCTGAGGTCACTTTCTATGCATTGAGAAAGTCATTCTATCTACAATAACCTCGAAGGATGTTACCCGTGTTTAAAAACATCCATACATTTCTTTCTTAGGAACTTAACTAATGTCTATTCTAGAAGGATTAACTTCAATAGAATGCGGTTCTTGATAAGTGGCATTTCCCGAATAAGAAAGTGAAATGCAATCAAATGAGTCACAGTGCAGGCCAATGAACTGACGATGGAGTCCTCTGTTTATTACAATTTAGCGATCTGTGAGTAATTTTTAAAAAAACCCACCGAATGTGAATATCTTTTTCCTTATAAATCAACTTTCTTTCTTATACTTTGTATTTACAATTCGGTTACTAAACTTTTTTTCATATAAGCACAATAACAAAACCTCTCATTAACCTCAATAAGTTCATTTCGAACTGACGACCTCTTTACCAACTCTAAGGAGCTAGCGAAAGTAAATTCTTTTTTTACTTGTATTCCAACTTTCATTTTTATTTTTTTAACTCATTATGTATAAAATAAGAATATTTCATTTGTACGCCACGCCGCCGTGCGCTAACTGTATCTAGAGTAAGACGTACCATATATTTCACAGTCTTAATTAACGTGTGCATAAATCAACTAAATATTCTAAATATGTATAATGATAATTGGAGATGCAAAGTAAATATTAAAGTTTCTTTATTGCTATTTTAGGTAATCATTTAGGATAAGATATAATTAAAACGCAATATAGTCAAAGTATATTTATTTCATTTTGTCCCAAAGTATAAAAATAGACAGCGCGTGTGCTCCACTATTCCACAATCGGACGATGCAACATAGCATAGTTCCAGATCAATGCACATTAACGGATGTAACAAGAAAAGTGTTAAAGAATTTATAACACTTCTGTATCTACAAGGCGCGCACAGACTTATAACGAGGATTCATCAATTTTAAGCACGTTTGAGTCTACACTGCATATGTAATTATTACATTCATATTAATCGATATTACTATGACTTATATTTACTGTTTAAAAAATAATAAATTTGTTTACTCTGATATTATCTTTGTATTGTCTTCGTGTAAAGAAAATCAATACATAAACTCACCCACCAACCGAACTTGTGCAGTGCAAAGTCGAATACTGTCAGCATACGTATGTGTACCTGTAAGTATTTTAATTAATAGTTAATTTTCTATGTTAATAGTATGTATAATATAATGAAGTACATTACTGTCTTCTATTTGTAAACTACTTTGTTCTCAGTCTTATTTACGGCTATTATCTTAACAAGTTTAAATACTGTCAATAAAAGAATCGTAAAAGCCGACTAAAGGAGCGAACTACGCAGGCCAACAGCACTGCAAAGATAAGGAAAACTTATCACAAACTCTTTTCTTTTAACGTGTGGCAACCCTCTCGGGCCGTCCTCCCACCAAGGTTCGCAGGGGGGTGGTGTGTCGGAATCGGACCGACTAAAACCACACGGTGTGCCACTCTGCGCCTGTACTAGGAAGGATGCCTCCGCCGTCGGTTCGTCGGCGGCGAGTTGGGTCCGTGTGGAGATTATCCAACCGGGCCCTCTCCGCCGCCTTCTTCTGCGAGATAACGTTTTCGCAGAAGGATGCAACCGCGGTACAACAACTATCACTACCAACCATGGAGCGTATGACGGCCGGTAGCGAGAGATCTAACCCGATGACTGCTGTGAGGACCCGAAGCTGCGACGCCCAAGCCGGGCAAATTGCCAGCGTGTGCTGAGCCAAGTTCTCACTGCAATCGCAGTGGTGACAGGCGGGACTCAATTCCCTCCTAGCGACTGAGTGCAGTTACTTCCCAAAGCAGTCGTGCCCGTAAAGGACCTGCGTCAGTCGGAAGGAAAGGGTCCCGTGCTGCCGCCCTACATTCGACGGTGACCGGCTGGAGCGCCTCCACGGCGGCAAAACCAGCACGTGGCAGCCCCCAGCCAAGACGACCAACGAGCTATCGTGGCTCGACGAGCGCCCTCGCGCCACTCGCGTACTTATTCGGGCGGGGGCCGACTGGCCCGGAACTCAGTCGTCCGCCGATATATTTCGTTGCCGTCGGTAACCGCGTATAGCTCTAAACGCCAATACCCTCTGAGGACGCCAAAGACGACCCTATACCAACCCGTCTAGCGAGCGTGGTATAGTAGGCCAAAACCTCCTTTCTAAGGAGAAGCCTACGTCCAGTCAGTGGACTACTACAGGCTGTTGTGATGATGATGATCCTATTTCTCGTCTGTTGGTCAACCGAAATCCTTTTTTTGTTTCATGTTGATTGTTGCTCAGCTATTAACGACATTTTGTATTTAAGAACTAACATTATAATGTATGCATAAATAGCCAGAAAGTAGCGCCAGTGGATTAGAAAGAAAGTTATGAAGCAATAGGCTATCCTGGTATAGACATGTGATGCGTGACATAAACAAAATGTAGTTAAGAAAGTTTTATAATATAGGGAAGTTGACGGATATAAGAGTAGAGTAAAGATGGACGGACTACGTGACAAAAGATATGGCTAGAACGGGAGTAAGCAGTGAACTGACGAGTGATAGGGGAGAATAGAAGAAGACAACTCATGTTGCATCTCTTGTGGGACTGAAGGGCGTTTATCTTCGCCCGTTCCCGTACCTCCTTTGAAAAACATGACCTCCTCGGAGAACATTTTGAACCATGGACAAGCCCATGGTCTCTAACGAGAGGCTACCCATACCAATGCTGTACGAGTATATAAAACGTACAAATATCAATCCGCTCTACTTTGAGAGATTGAATTCTGTGGTAACTCGGTCGCGACCCAAACTTTAAAAAGGCTAATGTTGTTTTCTCAAAAGAATGTTTTATCTTTTATTTTCTAACCCTACTAATTTCAGTTTAGTCTTTTAAAATGCAATGAAAATATGTAACATGGCTATTCCAGCAACTCCACTTATAATGGGAGTTGACTATTACACACTACACCGGCTTCCTTAATATTTTCAGAAGTTAAGCAAATAACTTAAAACATTTAAATACGCATAGCAAAAATGTATTTACTGTGCATAGCTAAATGTTGAATTTACCGTATAAGTTGATCTTTTTAATATTTAAATCAGTTTAAATAGATGAAAATCGCCATATCTTTGTCAACGAATAAATTATGTTTATTCAATCTCAATTAAATATTTTATTTAAAGATAAAAACTAAAAAAAATGTAGTTTATAATGGCTTTATTTCTGTAAACTGAATAAAGGTTTTTCTTTTTTAATTTCTGTAAAGTTCGACAGTCTCTTATTAAATAGTAAGGAGCGTGGATACAGTGTGGCCCTGCCTGTGTAATTAAGCGATTAGTGACTGCAGTTAACAAGTACTTTAGACGGCGTGAGAAGAAATGCCAGAATCTAGCTCATTCAATTGATTTACCAGCTTCTATTTCCACGAGACACATCAACTTTACTGGGAAACAAATGCCGCAATTAAGTTCTATGCAAGCTGGGAAGCATGTGATATTATTCGTTACTAGCTGGTACCCACGACTTCCTTCACGTGGAATTTGAAAAGCGCTGCCTTAGTGGGCTCGATGCCAGGACCGGGAATTTTTTAAAGGGTTTTTTGAGAGGAAAAATAGTCTAAGTTATTCCTTATGCAGAAAGCTACCTGGCAGTAAAACATTATCGCAATCGGTCCAGCCGTTTAGAAGATTACCCGGAACAAACAGACAAACAGACAGACGGACAGACAGCCAAAAAAAATATTTAACTGGTTTTTAGGCATAGGTATCGTGGAAATAACCGTGTGAGCATGAAAAAAACCTATAATTTTTACATTACAAACAGAAGCTTAAATATTATCAAAAAAAAATATCGTAGAAGATAAAACAGTTTAATATCCTATTTCTCGTCTATTGGTCAAACGATACTGTTTATTTGTTTTGTAGTTATTGACTTTGATTATTTAAAAAAATAACCTGATCTTTATATTAAACTAGCTGAGACCCGCGGTGTTACCCGCGTTTGTTGTTATAACCGCGGGCAACGCCGCGGGGCGAAGCTAGTCTAAAAAAAGTAGCCTAAGTTACTCATGTCAACAGCTATCTGCCAGTTAAAGTCCCGTCGAAATCGGTCCAGCCGTTCCAGAGATTACCCGGAACAAACAGACAGACAGATAGACAAAAATTGTAAAAAATGTTATTTTGGCATATCTGTAAACATACATATGCATTTAGTAAAAAGAGATTATTTTAATATTACAAACAGACACTCCAATTTTATTTATTTGTATAGATATGTAAATAAGCCTAGTGGATGAAAAGTTGAGAAGCAATAGGTTATCCTGAAAGGGGCATGCGATGCGCATCAAATGTAGTGAAGAAAGTTTATGTATAGAATTTGACGAATATAAGAGTACTCGTAGATGGCAACTAAAGAAAACATAGATATGGCGGCCTGAAAGAAGCCTGAAAGAAGATATAGCTAGAAAATTAATAAGCAGTGAACTGACAAGTGATAGAGGAGAATGGAAGAAGAAAACTTATTGCGCCGTCCCCAAATAAATTTGGGTAAAGGGTAAGATGACGTAACTTTTTCTATAAAGGTAAAGAGACAACAGTTAAATTTTTCGGTTACCCCAGATACCCTAACAAGAAACTCACTGAGAACCCCTGCAGACTTAGGCCGCCTGATAAACAGGTGTCCACACCGTAGAGTACGGGGAGTCTAGCGCGGAGCCAGGAGCAGGTTCTGCAAGATTACATGCCTTATGAAAGATGGAGATAATTTTGTGCTGTTCGGCACCTGGTTTGTCTGTCTACTGCGGAACGGGAGTGTTCGTCTTCTCCCGTTCCCATGAATGTATTCCCATGTAGTCCCATTCATATAATGTCGTTATACAAACATTCAAAGGTAACTAAAAATTAATAGTTTTATGAAAATAGCTTGTTATACGAATTGTAAACCACGATTTTTTTTTAATAAAAGGAAATCCTTTTATTTTCGAAAAAAAAATTGAAGCAACTTAAAGAAGAACATTTATGTATTAATTTAAAAAGGTACAGCCACCATTAAAACTTACAACAAGCATGAAACTCAACATAATTTTGCACCGCTTAGGAACCGCTGCAAAAATTCCTTAGGAAATGCATTCGCAATATTTTTTACTTCTCTTAGCATCTACGATCATATTTAGGTAGCGAAAATATCAAAGTCGATTGGACGACAATCACAATGACATATTACCTCCATCATCAGCCCGATAAAGGCACTACAATTAAGTTAGTATGAAATAAATAAGGATTTTTATTTAAGAAGTATACTTACCACTAATAGTAAAGGTTATGATCATAAACAATACAAGTCAAATTATTTGAGCAGAAAGTATTCATTCGATCACTTAACTTTCGACTACTGATCAAGAATTCCAAATTAGCAGCCTCATGATAAATAAACATGGTGATGAAAGATTAATAAATTAGGTAGGTAAATAATATACCTAATAAATTAGGTAGCTGAAAAGGTATTTTTTTAGTTGTATGGGGCTAACCTCTTGGAGCGACCACTATTTCACATCACCCTAATAGTGAAGCTGAAAAAGCTGAAAAGAAAGCTGAACTTCACTGTGAACATGGTGGATGAAAAGCTTGTAATTAGATATCAGACTCTGTCCAGTTCTTTCAATTTCCGCGGACCAGATGTTGAGGAAAAGCTGCTACACTCCCAGCGCCACATTTCCTAATGTACAAATTACATGCTGGATTTGCAGGCTTCTATAAGGTTACTTTCGTGGTACTAAAATCATTTTAGGTTGGTGAAATAATTTATCTATTTTACTTTGTCATTTTTTCGCACGCCTTTTTTCTTTAAAAGCTTAGTTTAAACAAATACATAATCATCCTCATCAACAGCCTTTAATAGTCCACTGCTCGACATAGGCCTCTCCTTAGAAAGGAGGTTTTGACCTACTATACCTGGCTGGCCAGACGAGCTGGTATAGGGTTTGTGTCAAGTTTTCCTTCTCTGTGCAATGGTCCTACGTAGTTTGCTCCCTTAGTCGGCTCTTACGACACCCACGGGATGAACAAGGCTGGTGACACTTCGTATTCTTAATCCGTCACCACAGTCACCACACGGATCTTAATATCGTGTAGGTATACTAATTAAAGCTATACCGTAGTCACTTTCCATCAGGTGTTCCATCTGCTCGTTTGCCTCTATATCATAAAAAAAGAACTTACCACTGCTGATGTATTACCTGACATAGAACTGATTTTGTTATTGCCAAAAAAAACTGTAAATATATAATTAGACCACGTATAACAAAGTACAGTAATTAAGAGGTAAATATTTTTCTCCTGAGAATATGCAAATCAAAAATGAAAATAGGCAAATGCAAAATCAGTCCTAAGAATAATTTCCTAGTTGATACATCTTGCAGTACCTGTAACAAACAAATAAATTTATTTATTAACTGTTTTAACTGCTAAGGCACTAATTCAAATTACTACGTAACGTAGAGAGAAGACGATGTATTCACTTCGGTAACCGAATGTCCTTGACAAGGCTTAGTCAGGAGCGATCGGTACAACGGGATGAAAACAGGTTGGACAAACGGACATACGTATTGACTAGCACAGTTAACTCGCTGCCTCTACAACTGGGTCATTATATATATATACTGAAGTTCAAGGCGCAACACTCATTGCAAGTTAAACTCTCGCACAAGCAACACGCACTTTCACCGGTGAAAATAAAGCTACTTCGTTGGAAGATAACGTGAGTCAGTGTTACAGTGATATACCTCCAAAATCCAGATAAGGTAAGAGGTTTTTTGCAAAGCTATCCCATAAGCAGTGGAATAGTTTTAGTGATCGTGAAAATCGTGTGAAAGTTGAACAGGACGCTAATTGCAAGTGCCCACGTGATATGTAAATTATATTTAATGTGTTTCACAAGTGATTTGGTGATACAAAATGTTTGTTTATGTCATTTGTTTGGTTTAAATTTTTCTCTATTATTTTACCTAGAGTAAATAAACAAAACTGTATCGAAATTGCTGTGAAATGCTATTTTTTTTTCTTAATAATTTATTTATGGTAATTCAATATGCTTATTTGCCACTCTTAAAGATGAATGTATACAAGTGTATTGTGGAAATGAAACCAAAAAATGAAAGTATGAATTGCAATAATCAGATCATTTTAAATGTATTTTAATTTACGTAGGTATTTCATATTTTAGGATTGAGTGCATAATATTTTTATTATTTTTGTTTGTGTTTGAGTTTCCATAGTTAACGGGTCTATTTTATAAGCTTTTAGATATAAATATTTACAATAACACTGTTAACGGTTTCCATTACGCACCGACAAAGGACATATACTTAGATATCAAAAATAAACACAAATAAAAACCAATCCTGATTTTATTATATCATAGAGTAAAAAAAACGAAATTTACACAAATCAAAGTATCAGACATTGACTAAATGAATCATAATATAAAAGAGAATATAAAGACCAGTTTTACTAATTTCACAGCTACTAAATCTGACATGTAAGTCTTTCACATCACAAATAGGACAGCTATGTGTAAAACACACAACAATTGACAATAAGCAGTAATAAAAGTATTTCAAAGTTCATTTAATTGCTCCATTATTTAAAGCGAGTAAATCTATTTAGGTATAGTGAAAAGGTATTCTAGCCCACTCATCATCATCATCAACAGCCTATACTAGTCCACTGCTGGACATAGGCCTCTCCTTAGAAAGGAGGTTTTGGCCTACTATACCACGCTGGCCAGACGGGTTGGTATAGGGTTTGTTTCAAGTTTTCCTTCTCTTTGCAATGCTGTTGTCCTGCTTAGTTTGCTCCCTTAGTCGGCTCTTACGACACCCACGGGATGAATTGGGGTGGTGACAATTTGTATTCTTAATCCGTCACCACACGGACTAGCCCACTAGTCCACACAAATAGAAAGTTAATAAAAAGAAAGATATCGTATATTCGGGCTACAATCGATTAATTCTTGTTTGTTTGGCGGCATGAATGTCAATTTAAACGAGCTGGATTTAGCATGTTTTTAAATCAGGAAAAATGTAAACAACATACACCTATAAAAATTTACATAATACAAGGGTAAAGGCAAAATTACATGACTATAAATATTCATTGTTGATTTTTATGCTTTTTTTACAAACAAATTTAGATTCACAAGATTTTTCAGTCAATTTCTTATCAGTCTTTTTTTTACATTTTAAACAAGTGTATCAGATTCGTCAGGTTAATACCGTTGTATTTTTTAACTGAATGTGAGTAAGCAAAATATGAAAACTTAAGGAGTGTTCCGTATGATGCTTGGTGACAGGTTCCTGAGTAATTAAAAGTCTTGAAACGTGCGCCGGCGCTATGTTGAAAGTGGCGAGGAAAGCTGCTGCGATCGGAATGGCCAATAATCTTGCGTGACGACCGTCGTCGGTCCCATCGCTGAGTTTCTCGCAAAATCCAAGAGGTAGAATGTAGTACGTATTACCAGAATAATATAAGTTACATCATCATATAAATACTTTATCTACTACATAAAAAGATTCTTAAAGGTTTCTGGTTTTGAATAAACTGTTCAAATGAACGGTTTCTTAAAAATGTGTGGCATTTATGAAACCTCGCACGTGCTAAATTCTATTCTTACTTCTAAAAAGCTAAAAAGGAAAACTGAGATAAGACTGAAACTTCGCTGCAACAAAACAACTTGAATTTCCGTCACAAAATATTCATTTAGAGGTTTAACAATGAATTTAAAAAAGGCGCAGAAACTTTTTCAAATCAAAATCTTGTGTTTCTTTTGTAAGTGTTGCCGAGTTTTGAAAATAAAGGTTTAGATCTTTATCTTTCATTCAATGCAAAATCTCAGGTAAAAAACGAAAATAAAACCCAGTAATGATTAATCTGCTGTCGTAATCTCACAACGAAATGCTTGATACATTCATGCCCAAAAAACTTTAAAGTGAAAGTTGTTGGCGGACGTGAGAGGCAATCTCGTCATTCACCGGCGTCGTTGGGTAATCAAAATCATTTTAAAACGAAAATTACATACCGGCACATCACCCACGGCGTGCTTATGCCGCGAGCCCTATAAAAATATACATGTGGTGAAATTACTTTCTTTTCTTTACAAGATTGTGTGTATTTATACATTTTTAGAATAAATACGTTACAACAGAAGCAATTATTATTCCGTTTACGTTAATTTCGTAGTTTTACAATATCTTAGATCAAAAATAAGCACCTTTTGAAGGATGTGAAGCTATAAAAGAAATACCCAAACAAATATAATAGTTTGGCTAGGGCAAATAAAATGTTTTAAAAGTTTCACTGTTTACTCAAACGTTGTTAAGATGTTAAACAAGAATGGCTCTGTTTGTAAGTAGGTGTCGACCCGAATCTAAAATGTGCATCTTGAGTCAGGTGTACCGTACGATTGATCCGCATCGAAAGCATAGTAACGGTGTGCGCGCATGCGTCTGCAAGCCACTGCTAATGGAAAATTACTATAGCTCATCATTAGTATGATACAGCTATATGAAGCTATACCGAAGATACGTAGATTTTTATTGGGCTTACACATAGCTTACTAAAATTTCGATACGTGCAATTTTATATATGTATACAACAAAAACGTAATATAATAATAGCAACTTTAAAAAAATATGGTACACGATACATTGTCACTTTACCTATAACCATGTACGTTTATGTTTATTACGAGTAAAATTATTTTTTGCACATTTATATCCGTGTACAGAACACGCATGCTTATAGTATGGATGGTTGTTGGTGGACGAATAGAAAGTGCATGCACGCTGGACCGGACAGCGAGCAGCCTGAAAAGCCAAAAAATGCGGAAATTCAACCAAGAAATATAATTAATATTATATAAAACATATAATGTTTAGTGAAATCGTGTTTTATGTGTGCTTATATGAATAATAAAAGATGAGTTAGTTTGAAATTTTTGATTATCGCGTCCCAAAATATAATTTAAATGAGATACCTCATTTATAGGGTAAGGTTTATAGACCAAAGTAACTAAAAACCTCAAAATATCTATTACTACGAGCATAAACTACGAGATATATCTAACCGATATTAAATATATTATGTCGACCAAATCATACAGCACTACAAATCTAATGAAATACGTTCGCGCATATCATCCACTCATTTTATAATGCAGTATAAAAAAAAATGTATACATAAAGCAACGCACGCGACTTAAAGAAAAGTGTCAAATTTATGGTGAAATTTACTTCTCACTTATTTATCTACGGTGAATTTCCGATGAAAGTTAGGAGCTGGTCATAACGTAATAGCTGGTCTAAGTCCACACTCCAAAATTAGAAAAACGTTAACCTTGCACGACAGTAGCACACACGCGACCGGACCGAGCGGCTTTCACCTTACGCCATGTTTGCTAGCGGAGTCGCCTCGCATCGCGTCGTTCTGCGTTAATAGATATTATAATTATGCTTACCATTTATCCGTCAAGAAAATGGAAGAATTGCATTTCTTTCTTTTCATTCCACTAAGTGGCAAATAAACATACGACTATCTCAAAACTAATTACCATAGCCTACCTGGCATAGTAAAAAAGTTTGCAATTGCGACACCAGAAGTGTTACATGTGTGTAAAAAAAACGGTAAGGAGGTCACAGGTTAGTCAGCTATTGGACTGTCTATACAATGAATATTTTTAATTTAGGAAACAGGAAATCAAAAATGAAAACAACTAAATTATACATGTCCCGTACAGACTTTTGGACTCAAACGGATAATAAATATTAAAGGTGTCTTACTGTTTTACAATAGTCTTTTGTACAGTAGTGTTAGTATACTCAAAAAAAAGGTAAATTAACAAAACCACAACCTGCATAACACGTAGGCACTTATTACAACGACAGTAATGCGGACCTCGATGGCAAAGTAGATTTCATATTACTAATAAATATAAATGTAGGCCATATCGGACGTGAAGATCCGTAACGAAAGTGAGGTTAGTTTCTCGTTACAGCGCCAAGTTCAGTCACCTGCGCCAGCGAAGGGTTACTGGGTCATGGGAGCGCGGTTACCTCAAAATCAACCAGATATCTACAGCAATTAATGCACTCTAGAAAACATAAATAACCGTTAGCAGAAAGACAAGACGGAAATTTATTTTAGACCTTCGTTACACATGAAAATGTTATATCCGTTTTTCAAGTTAAAAGTTATCTGTTCTCCGTACAAGCTATATTGTAAATAAAGAAGACATCGTTATTATAAAATTAGCTTGGTACACAGCGGCTTACTAGTAATAGTAGGTGACAAACATTCATAAAAAAATGGCAACAAGTTTTGCGACAAGAAATTTCTACGGACAGAATAACGATGGACCTGCTATCACCAACGACCGCTATAGCGCCCTCGTCGGCCAGTAACATATAATAAACCTACGTATGGTACTCATTTCTACGGCTGTGTAGAAAAGTATTTCTTAAATAGTATAGTATATCTTTCTTGATAACGAATAAATTAAATAACCCGAAACCTTACACGCCGATGTTGGCATGCGTGTTTAAATACACTGCATTATACAGTGTATATAACTAACACGCATTTATCGGTCGAAGAAAGTAGACCGTTTCTCGACGTTTTGTGACTAGCGGATGGTGAAAATTTACGTCAATTTATATAACTAGCACCTTATTAAGTATGGTAAGAGGTGACATCCGAACAACAGTTACCAAAGACCGGGTCACCTGCATTCGAGGGCTATCGAACGTGGCTGCAACATACTTTTACGGCGGACAGCGAGGTGGCAAAACCCTGTTACGATTATGTAACAATAAGTCATAAGTTTAAGAAATCTTGCTTTCTTTATCTACTATCTAAATCTTAATAAATATCAGTAATTTATTACTAAATACATTTAATACTAAATACAATTACAATACAATTAAGTTACATATAATAAAATATATATACATTACATGGCTGGGACAAACATCCTCTAATTAAAGACTGGCATCCTCTTAAAAATACAGAGAAGGCGAGGAACCACTTTCTAAGCAACTCTAAAAGCAGGCAATAATTTCGCTGGAATCACTCATCAGAACACTTTCTAATCGAGCGACGTCCATTGCGCTAGAGTACAATTAAATTATTTTTATTCTGTACATAAATGACAATTATATACCCATGCATTAGGGGCTTCGTTGTTTAGGGTAAAACGAATTATATTAAAAAACAAAAATAATGTTGTTAAGTAATAACGACTATAATCAACGGCGTAATACTGATCTTGTATGAAAAAAATTGCTTTTTACAGATGCATCACAAGGTGGCAGGATGGGCGCTGCTGGCGTTAATCTGCTCTTCAACAATCCTCCACACATTAGCGTACCCCCAGCATGTTCCGCTCATATCACAGGTATTTATTTTTGGTAATTTGAGTAGCTATCATTTAATATTACTTACGTTTAGGGATGTTCAATAATTGTTCGTCAAAACCCTGAGACGCATAGTTATAAATAAGTGTTAGTGCAAAGTGCCGGTACACTATCTATCTACAACCTAAATGTAAGCTAAAAAGACTGTGATCGGAAACGCCAGTATGATACTGCCGTCCCTGATCTCGAGATAACATACGATTTATGATTCAAAAATTTTTCAATTTTTTTTCAGGCGACAAGTAGTGTACGAACACACAGTCCCCAGTATTACAGCAACTCATTGCCGCTGCCTGCTCATGCAGAAGTAGCTCAGGAACGTAAATTTGCCGAAAAACCTAACGCGTTGAAAAAGGTTGCCTTAGACGACATTGATGAAATTCAAACTAATTCAATTTCCGATGGTGGATTCTCCTGGTCGAATATGCTCGGTGTGTATACATCAAACTGCAAATAAAGAGAAAATTGAACATTTTGTCGATTATACCAATTATTATAATATTGTCAAATATTTCAGGTATGCTAATGCAAATGATTTTTAACCCAACCACGACTGGACCTAATAAGAGTGACAACCTCGATACGGACGTGTCGCCTTCTCCTTGGGCTAACCTATTCTCGATGGGACTTAAAATTTTAACAGCCATTTTAGGCGGAGGAGCAGCAAGCGATGGTATCGATAAAGTAGATAATGGTTCATCGCCAATGCAGGTACTTGCTTTGTAATCTTTAATTGAACTTCTAAAACTCTCTTATATATATATTTAACTATTAAAAAAAACAACTAGACTTCCGGTATACACTGCATAATTATGAGCTTGAATTTACTATAACAATATATGTACAAAAGCAAAGATAAATATTTATTTATCCATACTTATACACTAACCTATTTTTGTAGATACTCATTGACATTTAGAAATTCTAGAATCACTAAGTGTAAAAAGCACCACATAAGTTGGCCCTCACCTGTAGCAGGCTGCAAGGCATCCATATAGTAGTTAATAGATTGCCTTAATTCACTACAAATAACTAGTACATTCACGTCCGGGATCACCTCAGAGAAAGTTGCCACACAATATCTTACTTCCTTATATTGTAAAATACATTTTCATTCATTTTTCCTTGAGGTTTTTCCTATAACTGTAATGTAAATAGTAAGATTTGGTTACGGAGACGGTATTGCTTCTCGCTTGCTTCAGGGTATATTGGCTGCGGTTCTGTCGACGGTGCTCGGTGCAAAAGATCCCGACCAGGTCGCCTCCATGGCAAAGCAGGCTGGAGAGGTACGCTGTCCACCCTTCCTTATCCTTTTATTATATATGCAGACTATCACTACTATCTATCACACTTGTCATCATGTCATTTCATATGAATTTTGAATTACCATTAATAAGGCCTTTAAACAATCTCCTTTTTAGAACCTCAAAGTAGCTTCTAATACGATTTCTTTTCCACAGTTCATAAACATCGTTGTAAATCTTCTGGACGCTCTAAAGACCTCGTTCTCTCATCGATCGCTTACCGCGCGCTCCATGGGTCGTAAAGACTCAGTCAGTGATGCTGCGCTCGCTGGTATCGCGATGCTTAAAACCTATGTAAGATCTTTCGGTACCAATGATGACAAATGCCTGCAGAAGTATGTTTGTGACGCCAATACTGAGTGTTCTGATGACATCGGTCCAAAGAGTGTCTTCTGTCAGTTTGGAACGTGAGTAAAATTAAAGTACCAACCACCAAACCAATATAGGTTTTACGTCAAACGTATAAGATACTAAATCTAAACTTTTTTTATAGCTATGCAGCAAGTTTCGTTCTGGAACGACAGTCTGGTGGCACATTTGAAGATTTCTATGAAGCGGGTCGTCGAGGACGTTCAGGAGTTGATTGTCGCCAGATGTATTTGCAGTGCAATGAAGTTTAATGCCAATATAAGAATCCGCCAAAATACTTAAGTGCGGTTTCTAAACTAGTGATAACAAATCTTATGAGTTGATTTCTCCAAAGTTTTGCTTCTTAGATTTTTCCGATAAACTCTTCATTTTCAGTTTTCAGTAATAATAAAAATTAAGATCAACACACATGCAGAATGTGCTAAAATAGTCAAAAACATTTATGATCATTTAAGGTGGGTGATGCATAAGAGTATTAGTAGTAACGCCATGAATTAGGTCGGCATACGTTGTGCTCTAAACGAATCCCATCGCACTGATAAAACAGCGTCAAGTAGTGTGTAATAATAATTTAAATTATTTATTTATTTAACTTATTTTAGATGATAAAAAGTAATCGTTTTACATATCTTACAGTTTTATAACAGTCTATTCCGCGAACCCTTAGAAATGAGTAATGTATTTAATATTTTGTGTAATTGGCACATTGTTTATTGTATAAACGATGAAATTCCGCCAGTTTCCCGATAATTGACGACTGATGTAAAAAGTTATATGTGATATAAATAAATATTTATATCACCAATAGTTAGTATTTATGTATATTTTGTGCGACTGAGTGATTGAGGACGTCCTTGTGTGTTTGTGATGTAAATTAATAAAACTTAATACGTAATTATTGTTTTATTTACTGTTGCAAGAACAGCTTCTGAATATTCTGGTATTTATCGCAAACGACATAAGAAATGTATGCTTTCTACAAAATCACACAAAAATACCGCAATAATAACTTCACATAAGCGAACCAAGTAGAGCGTACTATGCATCCCAGAGCACCAGCGCATCTGTGTCAGTTAAAGCTTGACATTCGTTGACAGTGTGCCTAAGGTGACAGTAGAGATGACTTTGGAAAACCTGCTTTCTCAAGTAGGAACAGGAACGAAGCATCTCACGGACAGGTCAGTTCTTTGTCTTACATACATGATCTTTATAGTACATTACAGATCTTATAGTAAACAGTCTATACTTATTAATAGGGCAGTTCCCCTAAAAATATTTAATAAAAAGGATTATTCGAAAAGCAGTTATTTTATAATTTCCGAATTTAATTCTTAAATATAAAAAAATATAATTAGTAAGTTAGTAGGTAGGATAGGTTAGTAGGTACGACATCCTCTACAAGTCAATATTTAAGACTTGCAGAGAAAACGGGAAGAATAAAAGAAATGCACCTAGTATTTAAATATAATTACTTCACATACTTCAATATTTTACGTATTAATATTGGAAAGTAATTTAGGTATATAATAACACAGAATAAGTATTTGTAGCATGATATATATATTATATATATATATCCACATCATAGAACTACAATATACGTATATAAATAAACAATACATATATGTGCTCAATATATTCATATCGGTATTAGATTTACCAGATAACCATCAGCGAGCTGATATTGCGAATTATTAACTATTTTATAATCCTTGAATAGAAACAACTATATCTGACATACGAAATTATGAATGCTCGTGTCCACTTCCGAATTAGATTTCAATAGACGCATATGGTATATTTCATGCGGATGGATGTGGATTGCTCCTTAGGGGAGGCCTTCGTTTAGCAAGAAACGGCAATAGGCTGATGGTGTTGATATATTTTTCCATATTTTCTGAATCCAATTATATCATTTTGAGAAAGGTGATAACAACCTGTTTCAGATGGGTCTTACGGGTACTAAGTAGTAATTAGTTAGTTTTAAGCGACAAACTATTGTTTAACTGTGAAAATAGGTTTAACGAGTGGTATTCATAATTAATAATAGGCTTGAAATTATGAACATCAATCGCAAAATATAGTTTAAGTTAGTCAGGTTTTGGCGTCATAATTTTTCAACTGCACGGATGGCGTAGTGGTTTAACGGCTGCCACGCCGCAGCTCCACGCAGAGTGTTGTGGGTCCGATCCCCACATAGGACGACACTTTGTGTGATCCACAAATTGTTGTTCTGAGTCTGGGTGTTCTATGTGTCCGTTTTATGTATGCTTGTGGTGTTCCCCTACAGTGTGACACAGGATTTATTGCTAACGCGGGAGTAGTCCTTTTAAAAAATCCTCTACCTCTTGCAACAGGTATGCAAAATTTTATAATGATCGGATGATGAGTACGGCAGCGTTTTATATAGAAACCAACAAACATTTATTTTTAGGTAAGTATACCCATACAAAAGATAAGATGTAGATTTTACTCAAGTGTTTATCTCGGAGATGCCCGACTGGTTTCGTTCCCGATGCACCCGCTTCTCTTTAATGAAGAGCAACATCATCATCATTCGATGAAAAGCAACATTACTTAACACCAGTATTCGGTTCATTTATATTTTTAAAATATCTAAATACGTCATGCAAGAATAATATCTAATATGATAGAGCTAATTTAAATGTTTTAATTTCTGGTGCTCATAAACCTCAACAATAACAAAAAAACTGCATGTTATACAATAAAAATACACTCGGTGGACTGAAAAGTTTGGTTGTTTTGTGGCCAAATCAAAATTAAAACGAAACATATTTTAGTGACATCTAGCGAAGATAAGCCAAACTAAATAAGTAATAAGGTAATGAATAATTTCGTGCAATGAAAGTTTTTTTTCCCAATTAGTATACATGGCCTTACAACAACCACCAGGTACAGTTTCTCTTGCTAGAGCCCCTGAGACTGATGCAAGCACATAGATTATAGATTGACCTAACTATTTTGTTCGTTTACACAGCTATTTTGAGAGGGTTGTCAAACATTCACAGGTTTGGAGCATGTTTGATGAATTTTATATTTTTGTTATTTGACGCGTCGTTTGATCTTCTTCCGAGTTCCGAAGTGGTTGAACAAACACGGTTCAGTTTGCGCTGAATTTTGTGCTATAGATGTTCATGTCGGAAAGGATGTCTCTATTTGTACCATTCTTTAGACCAAATTCTATTTCTTTTTTTTTACTTTTCAAGCAGGACATTATTTGACATTAATGTCTTAGATTATTTACCTATATAGCTAGATCACGGAGCAAATACAAAGAGGGGAGGTGTACTATGATTCTAACTAGGTCCTGACGTCATCACAGTGGGCGTGGCTTAAACTTGTACACTAGCAGCGTTCGTACTGTGTGTTTATAAATGTTTATATATTGTGTACGTAAGAATAAATAAATAAAATAAAAACAATAAATAAAATCAGAACATGTTTAGCATATCGTAAAAGCCAACCCAAGAAATGGTCATTTATGAGTGACGGTGGTCCGTGAGTACGGTGAAAGCGCTCACCGTACTCATCGCTCACAGCACCTAGTTTTTCTGCGAAAAATCTAGGTGTGAGTGCAAGAAGTTTTTTTTTCACTTTTGTCATAAGAATCAGAACTAGAACTTGTATGTTCAACATGGTCTGGAGCCTTAGGTACTGTAAGATCTTTGCAAATGATGTATTGGTTTAGTGACAGAAGACATTCTGCATATCTCTGCATATTTTCTCGCGTGCTTAGATTTTGTACAGAAAACCTTTATTTTTTTGTAGAAAGAACAAATAAAAGCACTTACGTGATCCTACGGTTCTCGCCAAAGGATAGAATGACCAAAAGGCATTTTTGTTTTTTTTTCCATTGAACATAATTTGACGGTAGTCAAATTATGTGGCACGAAGTACAACACATATGTGGCATCCACTATTTGGTTGTTAGAGTCAAACCCAAAATATGCACGATAATACTTCATAATCGTAGGTGTAATACGTTTCTGTTAACGTTTTGGCAAATATTAACAGCAAATAAAACGAATCGGAAGAATTAACACAAAACAGAGACATTTTGATAAAACTAAATGTTTACTAACTATACACCATACGAGGGCGGGTCAATAAGTCCGTGACTTTTGAATTTCTGACCTCTTTACTGAAAAAGCAACACTACTCCTGTCAACAGGCATCTGTCAGTTGACTCCTGTCAAAATTTGAACTTGCTGCGTCAGTTAGTTTGTGTTTGACAGCTATCTTTATCAGACTACCCAGTAATTTGAGGAAAAAAGTGAATTTCGTGTGCTTATTAAGCATTATTTTTTGCGAAAAAAAACCATTACCGAGACCAAGGCTAAGCTTGATAAATACTATGGGGACTCTGCACCATCGATTTCAATGGTAAAAAAGTGGTTTACTGAATTTCGTTGTGGCCGTACAAGCACTGAAGATGCCGAACGTCTTGGACGCCCAGTTGAGGTCTCTTTACCCGAAACAATCGAAAAAATTCACGATATGGTGTTGGCCGACCGAAGATTGAAAGTGCAAGAGATTGTGGAAGCCGTAGGGATCTCGCATGGCTCAGTGGTTTCAATTTTGAATGATCACTTGGGCATGAGAAAGCTTTCCGCAAGATGGGTGCCGCGATTGCTCACAGTCGACCACAAACGCAATCGTGTAACAACTTCACAGGAAGGTTTGGCGTTGTTTAATCGCAATATATAGGAGTTTTTGCGCCGTTTTGTAACCGTGGACGAAACATGGATCCATCACAACACACCAGAGACCAAACAACAGTCAAAACAGTGGGTTTTTAAGGGTGAATCCGCGCCAAAGAAGGCCAAGGTGGGTTTGTCAGCCAATAAAGTTATGGCGACTGTCTTTTGGGATGCACGCGGGATAATCCACATTGACTACCTTCAAAAGGGAAGAACAATCAATGGGGAATATTATGCCAACTTATTGGACCAATTCAATGACGATTTGAAAAAAAACAGACCTAATTTGGCCAAGAAAAAAGTTATTTTCCACCAAGACAATGCAAGGGTGCACACATGTGCAGTTGCCATGGTAGAAATCCATGAATTAGGCTATGAATTGCTCCCTCATCCGCCCTATTCTCCAGATTTGGCTCCGAGTGACTACTTCTTGTTCCCAAACCTGAAGAAATGGCTTGGTGGAAAAAGATTTGACTCCAATGATGAAGTCATCTCGCAAACAAAGGCCTATTTTGAGGACCTCGACAAAT